TAAAAGTCCGCTGGGAAAAAAAAAACTTGAATCACCTCTCCTAAAATACACCCCTTTGTTTTTTGTATCCCTTCAATAGTAAAAGGATGCACCTAATATGGGCTCTAAGCCCTAAAGTCCACTCTCCCTTAACCAACTTCTATCATTTTTGTAAGCCCCTACTACCCAAACTCTGAACCGTAAAGTCCTTAAACCCAAAGCTCCCTAAACCCGAAACTCCCTAAACCCCCGAAACTCCCTCAACCCCAAACTCCCTAAACCTAAGCTCCCTGAACCCTAAACTCCCTCAACCCTAAACTCCCTAAACCCTAAACTCGCTAAACCCTAAACTCCCTAAACCCTAAACTCCCTCAACCCCAAACTCCCTACACCCTAAACTCCCTAAACCCTAAGGTCCGTAAACCCGAAACTCCCTAAACTCCTTACATCCTAAAGTCCCTAAACACCAAGAACCCTTATAAGCACCAGGAAGCAAGCTGCCAGCCTCAGCCATGGTCCAACAACTTGCCGTGTTGCACGGCTCTGTCTCCAGGGAGCTGCTGGCCTGGCTTTAAGACCCAAAGGGTCCATGTAGGTATGTGGTATATACTTAGGGCCCAAAGGGGTTCCCATATACCTACTTTAAGGCCCAAGTATGTCCCATATACCTACATGGCCTAGGGATTCAAATGGGTCAATGTAGGTAATATTTGCAGACTTTGGGGCCCAATGTAGGCATTATTCGTATACATGGGATCCCTAGGGTTTAAGAGGCATAGGTTTAAGGTCTGCGTCTTAGGGTTTGCATTTTCGGGTGTAGGATTTGGGGCGTACGGTTTAGAGTTTGGGCTTGAACGGCTTGGTTTGTTCATGAATTCTCCTGACCTGCTTTGAGGATCAAATTTACGGGCTTAATGATTGCACTTTATTATGTACGCGCGTGATCCTTGACAAGGATTATCATAGGGATGCTAATGCTGAGGCCTTTCGAAGGAGTCCAATCCCCAGAATTGATGTATTTACATCCACTTACTACGCCCCCTGGGTCGTAAGCCGGGCCCGTGCACTCTAAGATAGTAGCTGCAATTTTTTCATTCTGCCAAATGCGCCCCAGTGTGACCTCTTCTTGCGGGACGGGACTAACCCTAAACTCCTTCCGCTGACGCCCAATAACCCCGCATTCCTTAGATCATGCACATAGCTACAGAGCTTATCTTCATATACCCCATACGGCTTCCCGCTTATGTGGGGCGGAACGGAATTAACCAAACTCCCTAAATCCTTATGCTTTAGCATCCTAAGCCCTAGTCCATAAATCATAAAGCCTAGTCCCTGATCCGTGAACTTTAAAACCCTAACCCCTAGACGCTAATTCTAAATCCATACCTTAGGAGGACACCCCACCCTGTAATCGTGGAGTAACAGGAATATAAGAGGACCCTAATATAATCTGTATTATCCTTTACAGGTCACTATTACAGACTGGGGGGTCCACCTAATCCATAAACCCATATGGGTGGTTGTCAAAATTGTGGTCCCTTTTTGGGTCCCTCCTAATATTTAGGTACCCCAAAAGGGACCATAATTTTGACAACCACCTATATCCCTTAAAAACTTCACTGCCGGCCTGGCAAGCCCGTCCATGGCCTCTGGCCTCTGCAGCGATGCTTCGACGACCTGGCGTTCAAGGCAACACATCAAAACGCTATGACATGCTATGACTTTGTTGGGCCCCTTACCCAATAATGGTGGTCTTACGGGATAATGGTGATTATACGAAGGTCCTGTTTTAGTTTTGCTATAACACTGTTGAACGGTGGTGGGGCCCACCTAAGCTGTAACAAAAACCTATAGGGCGTTTTTACAATATCATGGATTTGGGGGTGTAGTAGATCATTTTGATTCCAAACATGGCGGAAATTCGTGTACGTTCGCCGGAGTCACAACTCCTCAAGGCCATCATAATGCTTACAAAGCATCCCGAGTGTCCGAAACAAAGCTTGCATGGACAGCGTCCTCGTGCATGCGCCCCATGCCTGGCAAACGAGATTCAAAGTTGCAAGCCGGCTGTTGCGCATGCAATGTATCTTCTGGCTGAGGACACCAAGCCTCCCAAGGCTTCCAAACGCAATCGTGTCGCCCTTGCTCGCCGATGCACGTCTGCATATTGCCTCGGCTATGCGGTGGATGAAGTCTTCAAAAAATTGCCGTGATAAACGGTGCCGCATCCTCTTACAAATACAAAAAAGCTCAGCCTGTGACAAGGCTGTGTTTGTACAAGCGCCGCGCCGCAAGGTTTGCCCAAATTCGCTGGATAAACCTGTGTGAACAAGGAAATGATGCACGATGCATCTTCAGACATGTTGCATCACGTGGCCACGCTGATGGCATGGACATGCATGACTACGATGCCTTGATTTCGCGGTGTCCTTGGCTGTGACGTCAACCAGTAACAAGCACAGTCTAAAGCATCTCGGCTTGCACACCGCAAAGTTAGTACACCAAAACCCGTGCAATTGCACATTGCCGTCATGTCCAGCCCCATGTTTTGAAGCAAGATTCGACTTTGCTGACCGCCATCGCAATCGTGAGAACAATGCGACCATGAACTGGCCCAATGGGTGCCCAATCAGGATTTGGTGAACAACGTGAAACAATTGTGGTGGGCGAACATTGTAATCAATAGGCCAAACTGTCTTTGGGGATGGGGGATGTGTTGGCTTCTGGACTAGATTACACATCCATATGGTGTGATATGGCATTGCCCCATGTCCCAACAAGCCTCCAGTGACCAAACTCGCAATCTTTTGGAGCTTGTGCTCTGCACGTGGCGCTGTCCAGGTTGCAGCCCCTGCGCATCCACAACTCCGTTTGTACATCCAGTGCTGCAAGGTGGGCAACTTGAGCACACTTACACCACACATCGCCGCATGATTTTGCTTTGATCCGCGAAAGCTGAATGCACAGAGTTTGTACGAAACTGCTGCGGCTTAGTCGAATCTTGTCATCTCGCCGGCCACCCGGGATTAGAAGGCCAACTCATCTGGGGGAATGGCGCCCCAACCTGAACAAATGAAAGGCGCCAAAAATTCAATGAAGAAGGAGGTATTGTGTTGGCTTGCCTGCCGCTCGTCCACCTTCGAAATCTGCATACCGTACTGCGAGCATGCGGCCTGGTAACATTTCCTGCGCGTGAGCACAATGCGCAACGCGGACGTCCAATCTACCCAGGGACCCTGCGATTTCACAACCAGCCTCGTGGATTGCTTTGTTCGGATCGAACACCATCTCCTGCCACGACTATGTTCAGCAAATGGCGGCTGCTGCAAGTCTCACACACGGGTGTCCTCCAACGCTGATAGGAAACCTTGACGGGTACAAGTTGCAAACGTGATCACTGCCACTGCTATAAACTAGCCATTGTTTCATGGACTGACTTGACTGGCCTTCCATCGGTCCGGGCTCTTTCGCCTGACAAAGCACCACACATAACCCAGTAGAAAACAATAGCAAACATGCAGCCTCAACAAAAAATGGGTTTGCCTCCAGACGGCCTTCTTTGGCAGCCATTTCTTTGATGTCTGCCAAAGTTGCCTGACATGCTTGCATTGTTGTTTAATGCGCAAACCTTGTCTGAATGTGCAAGCCAGCCTCCAAATTCGAATCGTCCAGGAAATTCCCAGCAAATGCCACAGTGTCCGTCAAATTTACGACTAAATGCGGGGCACCGCCAGGAACGAACAGCACCTGCAAAATCAGTCGCGCACCATTCTGCTTGTCAACGGCAGCGCCACCATGGCAGGCACCTCTCCTTCTTCAAGGTCGACATCTATGCGTCGAGCTCGATGAAACCCAGCATTTGTCGGGTTTGCCTTGGTAGCTGCGTTCCCGTGTCAACTGCGCACCATGTTTTCGCACATGTACAAAGTACAGCCATACAACACGAATGCTGCATACAGTGCCGCAATTTTACGAACATGTTTCGGCAAGCAGTTTCTCAACAAAAATGGTTTTCGGACGGCGGGAAAAAACAGCTCTTCCACGACAAGTTTATACGTGTTTCGTACGGATTTTTTTTAAATAGATTTCGCTCAAGTGTTTTACGGGACCAAACGCTCAAAAATCCGGCTCCCTGAGAAACCCTAGTGAGAGCAACCCCGTGTGCATTGCTTTTCTTTTCGCGATTGCGCGGATTGCGCGCGCTGTCGCACCAGCCCACAGTCCGTGCGACTTCGCTCACATTGGGGCAGCCGTAAACAGACGTGGGAGGCACACCAACGAATCACAAAATAACTTCTCGCTGCAACACACTGTGTTATAGCAACGATCTTACACGTTCGTTTCAATATTGAGAACCACCTCTATCCATCCTCGGGACACGCACAGGGCTGCATGCGCCGCGTGCACTTTGATTCATGTGTGTAAATTCCTGCCAAGGTTTGATGCAGAAGCTGGGCTTGTAAGCGCCACCCATTTTCAAGCATGCCTTGGTGGGCGTAGGCATGGCATTGTCACCCGGGTTGGCGAGGCGCAGCCGGGGGCCGACGTGCAACCAGAGAAGGCTTTGGAGTTCATCATGCGTGTGGAAGGGTCGAGCAGAAAAAAACCGCACCAATTGTTAAGGTGGCCTGCGGAACAGCTGGACATCCTCCCCGGCCTCGCACGTGGCTGACCAGACAAAACCGCCGCCGATGCAGCAAAGTCGACCGCGTGCTGGACTTCGCGGCCGATTACAGGCCCAGCCGGTTGCCCCCGTGGCCCTGACACAGGACCGCGCGCGTAGCTCTGCCAGCGCAATGCAGCGCGCACCCGTGGAGAGACAGAAGGACAGGTGGTGCAGACATAAAAGTCCGAGAAGGAAAATGTACGTGGCCCATCATGCTGTCCGCTCATAAGTGGAGGGCGGTGTCTGGCAACGATGTCACAGGGAGTTTTTTCCAATTTTGTAAATTTTGGGTTCCGTTTCATCGCAAACCAATGCGTCTGTTTCGGCATGTTTTGCGTGACGTGGTTGCAACGAAACAGCTGCATGCAACCATGTGTTTTACGCCTGCACACACACACATCTGCTCAACCTTCCACAAGTGACAATAGCGGAAATGGTGTCATGAACCCCCAATTCTGCGGAAATGCTGTCAGTCAGTCCGTCAATCGGTCATTCAGCCAGTCGGTCCGGTAGCCTTTGTGCCTGAGACACACGCGCGCGGGCCAAAGAAAATCGCACTGTCCGGGCTTGCACGATGGGTGCCCAGCGAGACGGTGCCTAGAGGGCATTAATGGTTGCACTGGGATCGCGTTGACGGTTTCGAAATATTCGCTGAACAAAATAGCCGCAACGTAGTCCCAGGGTTGATGGCCAAATTTGGTAGGGATGAAGCGAACACAGGAATCATGACGCAAACACGAGATTGATTGCCATCCCATACAGCGCGTTTGTTTGCGCGTCTTTGCCGCCTTTTGCTGCGCAAAGGGGACCTTGCCAGCGACGCACGACAGAAAGCTGCAAGTGGGTGGCCTGTGCAACGGACAGGGCGTTTTCAGGTTTCTCACGCGTTTTATTCCCCGGGTTGCGTGCGCATATGCAGCAACGACCCTGCGTGCCCCGCCCATGCCATTGCGCCAGCCGCCATGCGGCGAGGTTTTTCCAAAATCGTCGTGCGGGTTCGGGGTTTGCCATGGTTGCAGCCCTGCGCCCACGCACGTGAGGCCCGTGCAAATTGGAGTCGGACTGCTGTTACTGCCACCAGCCGTGTCGGGGTGATTCAAGAATCGCAGCTATGTTTCGGGCCGCTGGCGTTAGGAAATTGCGAGTGCGTCTGTCAACGGCACATCTGCATTTGCGGGTCAGTATTTATGCAACCGTTTCCAATTTTCTGTATTTTTCTTTCATGGCCAATTTGAACACATAGACAAGTGAGTGAGATTGTGTAAGGAGCTGCGGCCCAGCCAATCCGCGCAGAGGCCTCCCTGTAGGTCTACACGCATGTGCCGGGACGCGCTGCCAAAAAGCCAAGACGAAGTCATGCTGGCAACGTTTTTTTTTTTCATGTCATGTTTTTTTTTTCTGCCACGTCCTATGCCCAGAGTAATAACGCTGCGTTCTGCTACCGTTTCTCGGTGGCAACACACGGCCTCAGCTTTTGATGAAGTTGGCAGCGGCCAGCTCGATGATTTCTGGAGCCTTTCACCCTTGATTGCGCAGCTCAGACTACAGGCGGCGCGGCTTTACATGAAAAACGGGCAGGGCGCAGTAACATTTTTCATTTTTTTTCGGATTTTTTTGTGTCTGCCGACTCAAGTCTTGGTCGGTCCTACGCCCGCAGCGGCGAGCAGCTGGGCCTTCCTCTGCTGCCAAACGCAGCAGCTGGTCCAGGTGGGCCAGATGGGCGTCACCTGCCAGGGCCTCTGTGGGCCCAGCGCTGTGCCGGCAACCGCTTGCTGCACCGCCACAGCCAACATGCCACTCCACCGCCGTCCTTCCACCGCCCGCCCACTTCAGCGCCCCAAACCACGAGGCGCTGCGGGCCACACGCAGGGCCGCCCCAGGTCCAGCAAAGCAACACAACCGAAGTGGTTCATCTCAAGGATGTAATTCGACGTCCACGGTCGAAATTGTCGAGCATGTGTGTGGCAACGCGTGGGTTCTGCGCTTGAAAGCGTCGCTCTGGTCACAGAATATTATGGCTCTGGAATTTAGTTGTTGCGCCATTTTGCCAACATATTGCATAATCAGACAAAGCACTTCGCCATTCATGGGATCCCGAGTATTTCCGCCCCTTTCCCGAACTTTTGACAAATCGGCGAGGTTTTTACGTCACGGCGCGGATATTTCAATCTGCAGCGGAAATTGCCGCTTAGGGAAAATTCGAAATGGATGGTTTTCTAAGCTGTCCACCTGGCTGAACTTTGGAGCAATAAGCTTCCTGGGCGCATGGGTGGCTGCTAGCATGCGTGAACTTGGCATTGATCTGCCACAGCTGTGGGAGTTGTCCCCGGAATGCAGCCCCAATGCCGTTATCGTCGGTAGAAATTTGCGATGAAGAGTAGCGTGTCCCTATTTGTCGGCTAAGCTGCACGGGAATGATTTTTGGATTGCTTTTTTTTTGGGATTCCCAGTGGGGACTTTCACCTGCGTGCCATAACGCGAGGTACAAAAAAAAACACTCACTCATGTGATTTTCATGAACAGCGGTGGGATGATGTGGG